TAATCTGTTAGCCTGACAGACAGCTGCACCTCTCTTTCTTTCTCTGCTCCTATATCAAGTGTTAAAAGTTCGGGTGTGACTCAAGTCTTTTTTTGTAGTACCATTCATTGATCATGTGACAGTGTGCAGCCAGAGTGAAAGAGGGGTAGGTGTCTATGAGAAGGAAGCAGCAGCTGTCCCTACCCTAAGGTACAGGCACAATAACAATGGTGTTGGTTTTGGTCATCGCAGCGTCAACAAAATCACCGACAGGTCTTATCTATGAGTTACTTCTCTTCCCACTCTGCACCTCCTCCTATCACTTGTTGTGTGCAATATACCTTTTCAAAAGCACCTGTCTCACTCACTGTGGTTGAGTATGCGCCGCACCTAGCCATATATCCTTCATTTGGCGGTACGTGGCTCCATTTTATTCAAAGCCGTTTGCTAACTTCTAAATCTACTCGTTCTTAAATCAGAGCACAACCACATGGTCTTTTTTTCGCTCTGCCACCATGCCCCTCTTTTCATTCATCTCATGCCTCAAAAGAAGGTCGAGACGCTGCCTATGCAACTCCCATTGGGCATAAATTAATTGGCACGGGGATACAATGGGTGGGCAAGATATTTGGTGTTGTGAAATGGCCATGAGGCCTTTTAACATTTGGCAGAACTCCTTTGGTCTTGATTTATCACATCTAGTGTAAGGTGGAGTTCACTCTTCCAACTTTCCCCCATCTCTATTGTTGCGTGCAGGGCTGTCAACTTAGCTAACGACTTCAATTTGTGCACATCTTTCATGATCATTGTGTACAATTTGGGATTGAGATGGCTGCCATGATAAAGTTGATGCGACCTCAACAGCTATTCCACTGTGTGTCTGCGCAAGGTGGTCAGTCGTCCAAGTAGAAGACCACCATCTATGACTTAATTTTGCAGTGAGCGATTTACAAAGTGAGCAGCGGGGTAATTCAGCGGAGTGGATGGTCGTGCCACAGCCAGAAATGCAAGACCCTAGTTCACCGGAGAAGTATGACGAGGACGCCTATTCGTTGACTGCTGCAGACATTAAAGCTGATCTCCAGATTTTTAGGTTCAGATTAGCTTTCTGACAGCAATTCCACAATATTTTAAAATCACCAATTTTCTGTACTTTTGTTTCACAATTAAATTGGACGCTGAAAATGCACTTAATCGTGGCATGCTGGACTCGCGTTTTGGTGCCGTTCTCAGAATGCAATTATGAAATGTATATCATGTGGTACTGTTTTTTTTTCTGAATAAGCTTAATGAGGGGAAGATGCTACTTAATGCTCATTATCAGTATTTCTGTACTAAAATTTTTCCTAGCCTCGATTATCAGTTATCACTTTTGCTTGATAATAAACAATCAGAGGCTGTCAGACTAAGCAAAGTAGACAGTCGAGTAGCAAATGTGAGAAAGGCGTGAAATTGTCTGGGACTGAATTTTTCTTGTCTTTTTGATGCCAAATGTTGCGTAGAAGTGGATAGCTTCCTATTCGTAAACCAAATGTCATCTACTTAGTTGCCTTTTTCTTCGCTGAGTAAAATGACGAAGTCGAGTCATTTCAGTTACCTACTTTTCTTTTTAAATTTTGTAACGTATATTGTGCGTCCTAATAATGTCTACTTAGTCTTATCTTAGCACAGATTTTACTGATCCCTTCTTCTTTTGTTAGGCATTAGCATGGCCGCCATCCATGGAAAAGATTAGGACTGCAGTCCGACTGCAAGCTGAAGCAGCCTCACCCTGCCTCAGCTGCCCTACTTGCCCATGGCTCAAATCAGCTGCTGAAGACAGGTTGTGCAATTCCTAGATCAAGGTTTACCAAATTAAATATCTATCTTTTGGGTAAACGTGCTACTGAAATGCAAACACTTAGAAGCATGCGCAGCATCAAAACCTACCGAACAATACTCTTATACAGCGTATGTTTTTTTTATCCCAGTGGATCAAATAAAAGGCTATTTGGCTTGCACAACGGCTGCGGCGTTCAAATGTCCTGCTGACCAAATTAGGACAGTAAATGTATTTCAAGCTTACAATACACGGTCTCAATCATCTCCTTTTCAGCTCTACCCAATGCGGTTTATGGCAATTGGGGCTCAATACTTGATTAATTTCTATGACTAACTAGTGTGGCGAAGCACGCAGTTGACGGCAATAGTGATTGCACCATCGCTTCTGAGTGCACATTCTGCACAGTCGCTTCTGCCCCTTAATTCTTTTATTCACGAACTCAAAGTAGAGTGGGCGATATATGATCGCCATGAAATTCAATAATACTTATACCCTATATTATAATACATAGTAAATAAAAGTTGATTCCTTCTACGCTGGCTTAATAAATCAAGGTTCTGAAATAGGAAATAGGACTTTTGATGAAACTGTTACATTTCTGAGGTGCATTGAGGACACAAGTGTTTGCATTTCCTTGAGGAAGGGACGATGCAGATTTATTCACCAGTTTAATTAAAATTTCTGGTCTTTGACCAATGAACTACAAAAATGCAGGCATAAATAAATTGTTTAGGTGTTGTTTTACTTTACACAGTGAAGAAAAATGTCTGCAAAATCGTAGTCTTTGAGTAGGCGTTTTGCAATCGGAGTCGAA